ACATTTGGATTTGTAATATAGGATAGGTCTATGGGCCGCAGCAACCACTTACCATCAGGTGGACTGTGTGCTCGTTTGTCACCCTTATCCTATAAAAAAAGCAATGCTAAAATTACTAGTATTCCCTTTAACCACTCCTGGTAAGCTTAAAATACTTGTGTCAGGAGTGTTACACAACAGTAGCCGAATGTTGGAGTCGAACCCACGACCTTTTGAGATCGCGGTCCGCACCCTGCCGTTAGGCTACTGCCGCCTCTTTATTCTATTTTATTTCTCTAATAAGTAATAATAACCATATATATATATATATATATATATATATATATATATATATATATATATTTTTTAAATATTTATATATATATATATATATATATATATATATATATATATATATATATATATAGATGAGAGAGACACATAGAATGAAAGAAATGGAGAGTTTTAGTACATATTTACTATTCACATTTCGAAAAGTGTGCGCAGGAATTACATGCCTTAATTTTTTTTTATATTATACTAAGCCAGCGATTACCTACAATCCCACCTGATGGTTAGTGGTGATGTAGCCTAAGATGGTGAAGCGCACTGACTTAACATAAGCCTATTCACTCTTGCCTAGAAGACACCCATATTGTAATCGGATGGAAATACCGATGCTGACAACTTATTCCACTCTTTTGCTGTACGCATCACGAACGATGTAGCAAACCGTTTGGTTCGAATGCGTGGTAAGTCAACAACGAAAAGGTGGTGACGGGCCGAACGTCTGGTTATCCAATGGTGGTAGGGAGAGGTATCAATTAAATTATGCAATTCCTGCGCACACTTTCCGAAATGCATCCTGTAGAAATCCGAAAGTCTGGCTAGTTTGCGCCTTTGTTTGAGGCTTGTAATATTGGTTTTAACCAAATTTGGGGCACCAATAAGCCTCTTAGCATGCCTTTCCATTAAGTCTAAAGCAGCAATGGCAGCAATACTCCATGCACGACCGGACTTCACGAATTCCTCCTCCCCTATCCACCATCGAACTAGGTGTTCGCCGGGCCTTCACACCTTTGTTATCGATATTCCGCGCATTAGAACCAAATTATTTGCTTCGTCTTTCATTTTACGTAATCTCGAAACTATCCATATAGACGTTTTTATAATTAAAAAAGTCGTAATTAGACTTTGAATAAAAATTTAAAACCGACTTCAAAAACTAACAAAACAATTTCCAGTTATTAGCTCCTGAAATCCTATTTAATTAAAAAAGTTGGCCGTCACGAAACGTCTGGAAAGTTAAATAAATAAAAAAAAACAGAATTTCGTTAATGAAATGAATTTTCTTATTATTCTTATATTACCCATTAATATTATACGAGTCGGTTTTAGTGTCTAGGCACACCAATAAATGTTTTAGATCAAAAGAATCATTTCAATTGGTTCAGCTTTTTCAGTGATATCGGTGAAGATACTTAAAAATCCTACGCGTCGAATATTCTTATATAATTATTAACCTTTCCGTTTTTTGACCACAGTTACAAAAAATATTATTTCAATCATTAATAAAGATATTAAAAATATAAATTATTTGAAATTAAAATTAACATTGAAAGAAAATATTTCAATTCAGTTTTTTTACGTATGATCTAATCGAAAAGAATTATTATCTCAGCGCGTGTGACTGGTAAGCGGGCTGTTGCGCGAACATATTATCAAGGCTGACCACTAGCTAGTACTACTTTCGATTACTCGATTCTTGCGGTCACTAAAATGTAGCTTTAGGCAGACATAAGTTCAAATCAGATATTGTTTTTTTTAATACTATCAAAGAGCACCTTTGATCATTACATATATTCTATTTCATAGATTTTTTTCCAAATTTAAGATTTTTAAACTTTTTTTTTACAAAGAGTTTAATAAACAGTTATACAATGGAAAACTTAGCAAAAAGCTAATTTTTGTTCAATCCTCCCTATTAATCCTACGTATTAACGCTTTTTCAAGAGTCATAGTTCAGGTTAACTCCACAGACTACAACTCTTAGTCACAAACAATCTACATAAAAATATCATTATTATCATTCAACGATCTAACATCTACTCTTACATTCTCACCTAATATGCTTTATCAGGCATCAGGGTAATTCATCCATCCATCCATTCATTCATTATAGCACATCAAAGGCCACTGTTGAATACTAGCCTAGATATATTGATTGCTTATTTTATTTGGGGAATAAAGCTAAGAAAATCATTAATTTTTAAGATTTTATAACAACCATTATTATCCATACCATATTGACAATAATATCCAGTCGGTTGCATTCCAATATACATAATATCATTAAGCAGTACATAAAAAAACAATGACCAATTTTAGTAGCCTTAGACATATTGCTAAAGTGACTTTCCAAGTATAGACCACTAAGTAACTGAAGCAAGGTCGCGAAAATCATATTTATAAAATAAAACACAAGATAGATCAAATAAGTTTGTCTTAATAAAATAATTCTTGAAACAAGAGATTTAAAGTCAACAGAACCACAATTAAAGAGCTCAAAAACACAATGACATAAAAATAGATTATAAATACTTATATAAATTTATGATTTCAAAAAGGTAACTGTAGTAACTGATTGTTACTTACAACTATAGTACTATAACTATATTGAAATGATCGATACTTATACAATAGTGTCGTTTCGTAATAAGGCCAAATAAGTCCTCCAAATAATTGGGACATGGCAACAAATTACAAACACATAACTTTTTAATAAAAAAATGCAACAGATATTATGTAAATTGTATTTTGATCCAGCCTATTTTGTTCTAATAAGGATTTATAAATTGCGCAACTAGGTAAAGTCAACTTTAACAGATAGGTCAGATAGATCAAACTCAGCTGGGCAGTATTCAAAAGATTACGACACATCTTCTCATCACATATTCTTTAAAAATTGCCAATGATGACATAATATGGAACTGAGACATAATCCAACACTGCTGACTGTAAGTTAAGCGGTCAGTAAGCTATATCAGCCTCGTACCTGCAATCAGAGTGTAAGCTCTTCCCCAGAGCTAAGCCTATGTTAAGCTGTGGAACTGTAGGAATATAATGATAATGTCTACTAAGAGTTATTTTTATATATTTCCGTTCCATTGATTTTATAACACTACTACATGTGTAAGATATTCATTACTTCTCATTAATAATGTTCATATTTATATTTAATCTAAAATAATTTTGTGTCACTTTGGTAATAATGTATTTTAAATGGTTACTAGAGAATTTTGTTATTATCACTTCAATCGTAATGGGCATAATATACAACACGTCATATTAACAAAAGTAAAAGTGCTCTAGGTCGTTCATGCAATGGCCGAGATATACATTCTCGTGACGTCGACGTCACATTGTCTGCAAGACGCGCATGAACCAAGATCTACTTGGTACAATAATCAACGTTGAATCATACGATCTTAGATTAATTTATTGTGCCACGATTATTACTGAGGCACTTATAAAATAATATCGCTTACTTATACCATAGATCGGTTATCAAACCGAAAAAAAGACCTATTATCTACATAACGTAATGTAACGATATTTATAAAGACAAGTTAACTTTATCTGGTTTTTTTTTGTTAGTCAAAAGATAAAAATCGGGAATCAAAAAGGAAACAAACTTTTCATGTTATCCTGAGTATATGTACTAAAATAATTCAACATCACCAACTAAAAAAGGCAAATAAAATTTTATATGTTCAAAATATAACTTTATTATTATTATGACGATAATTATTTTTAATGTTATAAGTGACTTAAAAATTTCTAAATTGAAAATTTGACCTCACCGAAACACTCGCCAATGCTAATTACATAATAGAACAATTGATGTTAACAACCGTCGACCTCACATGAGCGCGATTGGCTAACCGATACGCTTGTTAAACACTAACAGGCTATGAAAACGAAAGCAATTTAGTGTAATTAGTTAAAATTAAGTTTCATGCTCTGAACGTTAAATTTATGCGCATTAAGTACCTTGAGACCATAAGGTTCACAAATACTATATTAATGTTGACACGATGTTCCTTTAAAATAAACTTCGCTCATTTACACGGAAAAAAGTAACTAAAATACCACAAGTACAGCTGTTTATCTAAATAAGGATATTTGAAAAAATAAGATTTAACATAACTGCTTCAAAGTTCAATATCATGAAAAACCAACACTTACCGTTTCATATTATTGCTAATATTTAGAAACTGGCGGTGTTTCATACACCTTGTCTCGGAAAGCACGTTAAGCCGTTGGTCCTGCGCCTGATCTGTCTCCGGTCGTGTCGAATTATTGTCCAATCGGACTATGAGAGTGAGGGAATAGAGAGTACACCTGTGCTTGTGCATACACTTGGGTACTAATATCCTGTCCTGCGCAGATGGCTAGTCTCCGTTGAAGACTGGCCGCTGTAAACGAAATTCGGTCTGGGTAATTATCATATGTATAAAAATTAATTTTTTTGTTCGTATTTTACGCGCTGCCATACCGTTGATCAAATTGCGCTAAAACTTTGTTGACTTATTGCACTGCCGCGCAGGTTATAGGCATAGTACAATTAACTTACCTACAGTATGTGACGAGCGTATTGTAACAACAAATTTATTAAAAAGTCATATAGTCATTCTTTTTCAATGAATGTATTATCATTCCTAATTAATAAATATAACCGTTCCAAATTTAAAACGATAATTCCATAATTATTTCTTCTTCGGCAACATACGCTGAATACCAGCTAGCTATTAATAAAATTTTCATGAAGGTTGTTACTGGTACCGATAATCGAGCTTTGGCTCTGCGTACAATGAAATTCAGGCAAACATCTAGTCCCTGAGCCGTGGAGGGCCGTGGTTCATTCCAAATTTATTATAAACTTTTTCCACTTTTTCAAAGTAGTTTTTAAAAGAGCTATCATACTCAGTGTGTCTGATTATTCAATGTTTACTTTTCAGCCAGCGCTGGACTTCTGCTCCAGCAAGCACCCCAGTGCCCAGAGCAATATGGAGTTCAGGTAAAATAATTTAAAGAAATATATATATTTATCTTTTACAATCTAGTAAAGTGTCTTTTAAAATACTAAAAAGCAGAATGTGCAATAAATGAAATGAGCTCACGACTTAGTTGTTTGGATTTAAAAAAAGTAAGTTCGTGGACAGCTCTAACAAACTTAAAATGGCTCAGATGCGTTGGAACCCCTATTTTATTAAGATGGATTAAATAAATAAATATAAAATTTTCCTCTCTACGTTTCGATCAATTTACAGCAAATATGGTCACGGGGGTACTGACAACTGAGGTGTATGACATACTGATGTCATAGTTGATGAAGGCTACCTTCATTTTTTAAATATTAATCTGGTACAATCTACCCAAAACGAGCTTAATAATAAGTATCTTGAAGTCTTGCCGTAGTATGATTGGACTTGGATTTAATTTTATCATTTATGGAATTCCAAGAACTGGAGCACCCAACCATATTCTCTATTAATTTTTTTTATAGGCTAGGGTGACAAACGAGCACACAGTCCACCTGATGGTAAGTGGTTGCTGTGGCCCATAGACATCTACAGCTACCCTCGTTTGCGAATCAAAATGCAGATGCGTTGTCACCTGTGACGACTAAGATGAAATGCTTCCTTTCCAGTAAAAAGGGTCTCCGGTTCTCTACACTCACCATAAGAAACACAGCAGCGTTAAGCTGCTATTTTACGCTGGTATTCTGTGAGAGCGTGGTCCTTCCCCGATCGAGCCGACCCATTCATGCTACAACTATACTACTAATATAGCTGCAGAAGCGTAGCTCTACCACGTACAAAAGGATGTTTCTTTAATTTCAATAACCTCGCGAAATATCCTTGGTAAAATTAGAATCTATTGCAAGGATTTGTGCAGTATCGAATTTGATGTAATGGATGGGAAGATCTTAGAAATGTTGAATGAGAACTTGCTGGAGCTTCAGTGCTTTACATCAGCTATATGTTCATTAACACAGTTTTATGGGTCGTTTTGAATGTTATATGTAAGAGAGACCAAAATAACTACCAAACTTATAATATAGGTTTGGTATATATTATACTTGACGCATGATAACAAGTGAGTAATCTTCTTCAACATTTTTTTATGGAAGCCTGCTTGTAGAATCTTAGAATCTACCGTACGTAGATAATACTTCACCATCAGACAAAATTACTGCAATCTTAGACCACCTAAACTCAATAAACTCTAAAATTCAATTCACAATGGAGTTAGAGGCAAATATTTTTTCACGTAAGGACGTCAAACACCTCTCGTGACCGTGGTGCAGTAGAGAGCGCCCAAAACGTTGGGAATTATTAATTTAAAATTTAAAATTTTGTTCATCCGACTTCAATATAAATGATTAAGAATAACTCAAAACCTAATAGCCAGACCTTGATCAAATTTATATGGGACCACATTTGAAGCATCAGCTTTCAAATTTAAAAAATACATCGAAATCAGTTCACTCAGAAAAAAGTTATGAGGTAACACACTTAAAAAAACATACAGTTCGAATTGAGTACCTCCTCCTGTTTGAAGTCGGTATAAAAGTTAAAATGAAACGCGATAAAATCTATAAGATATATATTAACTATTATCCGTTAACCTAAATCATTCAATGAATTCAAGACACATTATATAAATGCATACCCTGAAGCTCCAAGCCTGTAGGGCTCAAACTAATTAAGAATTCAGTCACATCACGTATCATTACAGCCATTTTAATTCCAATGCCGGACGTAGACCTTTTCAAGAATGCACCAGCTGGCAAACATTACTTAAAACTACTCACTTATATTGATTCATCACAACGAGCAGTCCGTTTGGTGTCATGCGTGGTCTATACAACTTGAGCTCAGTGTTTTGGAATGAGTTTTCCGCCGGCAAAAAAGGAAAATTTCGCCGCTAAAAAGCAAATGGAATAATCCATTCCTTGGTTACTTAGATAGCGCTGACTAAACCACAGCTACATCAAATGTATTATCTCTTATCTTCTTATTTCTTTTCGTATAATTTATTTACGGTTCTTTTAATTTTTTAGTAATACAATAATATTTTTATAATTATTTACACGTAACTTAACTTTGAGCTAATTTTCATTCAGCAGATAACTGATATATATTGGGGAAAAATAAGTCAACCCAAATAACTTTTTCGGCCACAAAAACCAACCTCTCATTAAATAACTAAGCAACGGGAAAATAAGAAAGCGTCTAATAAACTGATTTGCCTTATTTAAAAGCCAACTGAATATTCCAAATAAACGTCAAATAAAGAATCACAACTATTTTTACTCTTATAATATTTTACTCTAATAATTTACTAACTCAGCCATGGATTTTACAACTAACCAACATATTTTAGAAGTTACTGCCTGAATATATCACAGCCAACTAACATATCATACGATAAAATAATACATAAACAATGTGTGAATAAAATTATTCCATTTTTTTTTTCATTTTTATATCCAGTCAAGTTATAATTTATTTGAGATATATTTTTTATAGAATACGAGTGGCAAATGGGCACACCGTCCACTTGATGGTAAGAGGATGCTGTGGCCCAAAGACATCTATATTTTTCCTCGATTAAGGATCAAAATGATCTGCATTTTGATTCTTAGGCGTTGTCATGCCTGAGGACTACGACGGAATGCCTCGTTTCTTGTAAAAATGATCTCGGGTTCTTTATACTCACCATACGAAACATAGTAATATTCATCTGCTGTTTTACGCTGGTATTCTTAAAGTTCTCTCACGAGCATGGTACTACCCCAGTCGAGCTGATCCATTCGTGCTGCAACCATAATATAACTGCAGCGCGGCTCTACCACGTATACAAAATTTTTATTTAATTATTGAAAAATTAACTCATGTAAATTTAACCTAGACCAATTCTTGTAATGAATATAAGCCATTTAAAATGTACTCAAAGGGACAGAACAGATTTAATTGTGCGTAACAAAAATAGAGGGTGCAAGAATTCGCCTAACCAGACTTTTATACTCGTATAAAACAAAGCAGGTTATCTCCTTTTGATTTCCTGATATTTTATTCCAGGCTTACGCGCACCCGGAGCATTGTGATCAATTTTTCCTATGCACGAACGGCACTCTCACTGTAGAGACCTGCGAGAATGGTCTGCTATTTGATGGGAAAGGTGCTGTCCACAATCACTGCAACTACCACTGGGCAGTGGATTGTGGAGACAGGAAGGCTGATCGTAAGTTGTTTTTGATATATATCTTTATATATAAAAATTACATGTCACATTGTTTGTCCGCGATGAACTCCTAAACTACTTAACTGATTTCAATGAAATTTAGCACACTGTGTGAAGTTTGGACCAACTTGAGAGAAACTCGGAAACGGCCGAATAACGTCTGCCTGGTCAGCTAGTATATATATATTTGTGCAATTTGAAACGGTATTACTTACTATCGCCACCACATACCCATGTAAATAGAACTACTGCTTGCTATAGAGCTTTCTTATTAGGGATGATTTGCCACAATCACCAACCTCATCCCGTGGATTGGCGATCGCAGTACCAGAAAATACAGCTCATCATCTCCAATATGTGTTGTTTGTAACAGCTAGCGATGTCTGAAGAACTTCTCATAATATTTCATGTAGTGGACTACTACCATACTACTACTGCGTGACGGCTCCGTGGCGCAGTGGCTTAGCAATTGAGTTGCAGCGCTAAGGGCTGCGGGTTCGAATCCCGCACGGAACAAGTATTTGTATGGCCTACAAAGAATTGTTCCAGGTCTGGATGTTTGTCCTTGTGCATTTATGTTTGTAAACTGCCCCCACGATACAGGAAAAAATCCTGGTATGGAGGTTACGTTTTTAATAAATCAAATAATAAATCAAAATCACTTTACTCGCTATAGATATACTCCTGCCACCCCACACAATATTAATTAGTCTCCTTCTAATATAATATACTTACCATCATTTTACAATCTTGACATAATTTTGAATCAACCTACAACCACAGCGGTGAAACACTCCGTACGTGAGAGTTCAAGCGCCGGTGACATTAAGCCGGAGCGTGCAACGCTAGGGTTGATACCGAACCGAAATGGAATATTATAGACTTGTGCCAAAGAAGATACATAGTAGGTATATGTTATATAATGTAAACTTATGTATTTAGGTAGTGAAAGATACGATTAATTTTAAATTAACTTTTATTAAATATCTTTACGGATGGGGAAAATAAAATATGCACGACAGTTAATGGTAATCTTAAATAATTAACCAACACTTAGTATTTCAGTACGCAATAATCAGGCCTCCCCAAACTCTCTACTACGCTTTAAAAATTACTTACTTATATATATATTTTTTGCTTTTTCGATGACTTTTATATCTTTATTATTATTTCTAACAATTGCAAAAATTCGTAGCCGTATGAATATTTTTTTAGAAAATCCATAGGGAAGCATAGATAGATAGATAACACTTTATTGTACGCCAAAAAATAACATAAATATTAACAAAAATGAGAAAAATAAATATGCTACAATGAGTGGTCTTATCGCTAAGTGCGATCTCTTCCAGACAACCTTTGGATGGACAGGATTGCAAGAAAACAATAAAAACGTGTACGGTTTGGCGACAAAAATAACATTATATTTATTAAAGCTTATGGCTTTAATAGAAATATAGAATGGTATATAAGTACATAGATAAGATAAATACATACATACATATTAATATATATGTATATAAATATAAATATATAAAAGTACTAATATATACTTTAAAACTATTATATATAACATAAATGTGTCATACATATGAACAAATATTGCAACTAAATAAAGGTAGAATAATTATATTCAAATGAATAGGCATTATTATTTTTGTATAAAGTGCAGTCAGTCTGTGCTTGCGTGCGGTGCATGAGATTAGAGATACGAGACGCGAACTACTACGTACTAGCCCTCGGTCAGGGCAGTCAGCGACGGCCCGTTCCACACCCCGCACGCCTCTGAAGGTCCCCGCACACATCCAGATACCCACACATAGCCGCAAACGATTTCACGTGCACAAATGCTTAAGTGTCGTTTCTTTTCGCGTAGTGTATATTTTCTTTGCTACAACTTTAATGTTTGATATAAAACAATGAACGGATACGATAAATGGATGGGATCAATATTCAAAGGATCAGGCAACGATCTGTATAATTTATTTTCCTTACACAAAATTTCATACATCATTATTGTTTTTATTATTATTATTAAACTGCGTACTGTGTAGTGGCGGTGTAGGAATACCCACTACCCCATATCGACTAGTAGGAGTCGTAAGTGACGGAGGAAAACAAACCAGGACGTAGGAAGCAGCGTCTTCGTAATAACGACAAGAAAATAAAAAAAACTGCGGTTACCCCGCCTACTAAGCATGGTAACTATGACAAGAACCTCCCTTACGAGCCATTTTTGGGTTTGTTCAGCAGTGAATTTTGCTAGACTGTGATGATGATGATAATGATTGTTGATAAACAGAATTCTTCACACTAGAAATTTCTCTAGCACCGCGGAGACATCTTACATAAATAAATTTACATAAACACAAAAATTAAACCAAATTTGAATTTAAATCTAATGCAAAAATTTCAGTGACACCCATATCAACGCCTGGCTGTGAATACCAGTTCGGTATCTATCCTGACAGCAACGAGTGTTCAACTAGCTACATTAAGTGCGCATTTGGTATGCCGGAGCAGGAGCCGTGCACGCCCGGTCTCGTTTACGACGAAAGGATCCACGGATGCAACTGGCCTGATCTACTGCAGCCGTTCTGTAACCCTGAAGGTAATTTAATCTAAAATGTTTTTCTTCTCCTTTTCATAACCCTTCTTAGCAAGAACAGAAACTTACATATTTAAGGTTTCTTCTAATTGTCCATTAAATGTTTTTCATTTATTATATAGGTATAAAATGGTGAGGTCATGTGATGATAATATATTTTGAGCCAAAACGTATCAAATTTTAAGAGCATTCCTTACTATGGCGAACTCCCATAAATTGAAACAAGTGTATAAATCTGCATACGAGTATAACAGATTTTAGACTTATAAACAACTGGGCTCCAACAGTTTCTCATCAACCTGTGTGTGATATGGCGTTTTTTTAAATCGGTAAATTTTATGATAATGTCAGCTTGAGTAGGCATCTTAGACTATAAATATTAGAAGCAGCTTTCTTATTTATATTTTATTGGAAAAAAATATAAAATTGCCATTAGCATGATTCAAAGCCACTAGTATAGATTATTCTCTCTCAAGATTTTTCAAAATCACTACACAAGAGACTTAGCTTCAACGTTATTTTTTTTAAACTCTGCCATATTGAGATGCTACAACGACAGCTACCAGTTTAGATAATGTAATAGATTCTCTTTCACGGCCACAAAATTTAAAAGATTTCATTGCTGTACAGCATAGACATAGATTCAAAGTAAATTTTTAATTTGTTTATAGCTGTCATCGGTTTCAAATGCCCAACGAAGCTGCCATCAAACTCACAAGCAGCCAAGTTTTGGCCGTTCCCCCGGTTCCCTGTACCTGGTGACTGCCACAGCCTGATCACATGTGTAGAGGGTCAGCCACGACTCATCTCCTGCGGAGAGGACAAGGTTTTCGACGACCAAAGCCTGACATGTGAAGATCCCGAGTTGGTACCTCACTGTGGTCATGCGTAATTGTCATTATATGCATCATCATATTATATTACAAAACGAAAACGATTTATCTGTAAAAATATGTATATAAACCAACTTCAAAATATATGTATCTATGCACAAGGAAAAAAATTACCAAAAGATCAAACATTTGTGTCATACAAGCTTAAGATTACCACACTTATAAAAAACCATGATACGTCGATAGCATCATCGTTTTCGTTTTGTGATATTACCATTTAATTTAATTAAAAAAAAAAAACAGAAAGTATGGAAGTATTTCTACTGAATTCTATTTATTTAAACAAATCATCCATTCAGTTAACGTTACCAGTTAAATTAGTATAATAAATAAATTTGTATTAAAATTTATTTCTTATAAAAGATTCTTTAGTATTGGTTACGTTTCCAATACCAGATTGAATTGTACGTGATATTAGTTACCGTAGAAATATAAATTATATTATTTAGTACTTTGCTACACGTTTTTTTATTATAATGTATAAAAATCATTGTAAATATATACTTTCAACGAAAATGAAAATGTAAATAACAAAAATATTACATATGACGAAATAAAGAAATACAATAAAATAAAATAATGTTTCTCTTGTCAGTTTTATTAAACCAGTCTTAACATTTAAAAATTTCTATTAATCTCCAAAGTTATTTATTCTTTATTGACCGACTTCAAAAAGGAGCCGGTACTCAATTCGACTGTATGTTTTTTTTAAATGTGTGTTACCTCGTAACTTCTTACTGGGTGAACCGATTTCGATGATTCTTTTTTTATTTGAAAGCTGGTGTTTCCCATCTGGTTTCATGTAAATTTGATCAGGGTTTTATCAATAGTTTTTGAGTTATTCTCAATAATTTATATTGAAGTCGGTTGTACAAATTTTGACTGAATAATAAAAACTGCACACTATTCGATATGTCGACGCCGAGGATTCCGATGCTAGCTGAGGCAGCAAGGAGGGTGTCTTGAAACTGAGGAGATACGACAAAGGGGTTCTTTTTAGCGATAAATGCGCAAAATTGTGTCTTCTGGGGATTGAACTGGATTAAATTTAGTCGCCCCCAATCCGAGATTTTGTTCAGCAAAGACTCAACTTCAGACACAAGTTTGTCCCGGTACTCGGCGACGTTGCATAGCAATGAGCCAGTGCTGTCGTCTGCATAGCAATGAATGTTACCAGTTTGCAACATATCATTGATATGCAGGAGAAACAGCGTTGGTGATAGCACGCAGTCTTGTGGAACACCGGTGTTGATCGGCTTAAAATCAGAGCATGCACCGTCTACTACGACCTTGATGCTCTCTTTTTTTCTGGTAATTAAGCAGTCCATTATAGTCCTCAGGGGATTTAACGAATCTTAACTCCTAATCGAGGATAGATGTTAGATGTCTATGGGCCACAGAAAACACGTATCATGAGGTGAACTAAGTGCTGGTTTCATAAATTACGTAAATAGGGTTTTAAAAATAAAAATATAGAACATCAGACAGTGTTCCAAATTTCTCCGATAGTATATTTTAAAAACCATATTTTCATCAACTTTACTGATAAGCATCAAAACGTACTTTAAGTCTAATATAACAATATGATATGAACAAAAAAAACAAGCATGGAAGATTAAAGCCGATGTACACTTTATGCATTTAAACAACGAAAAGCAATAAAATAGATAACGTTCTAAAAACTTTCTCTTAAACAGTAAACTTCAAAAAAATTTGACGTAAATGAAACAAGTCTAAAGTAAAATTATTCGGTTTACGTTGTCTCTTTCTGATCAAATTTATTGAAAACTAGTGATCCACGTAGGCTGTGTTCGGGTGGTCTCTGGATCTCGACAACAGCGCCATCTGCCGGGTTCAAATGTGAATTTAAACCATCTAGGGATCCATTCAAATACACAAAACATTTCACAGTGGAGCCGTTTTTTGAGTTTTAGTGAGGCTAACGGAGACCAATTGGTTTATATAGAGTCATACTGCAGCTATCTGCAGCATGACTCTACCACGTAAAAATAGAAAAACTCTAGAAAAAATAACAGCAGCTCGGGATTTCCTTTTGCAACAAAATATATATTTTTATGCCATATTAATAATACTGGTATTAATAATATTCCAAACTCCTATACGTTTTATATTTAATATTATATTCATTTATTTTTATTTATTACAGTCTATCTAAAGTCCACTAATAAACATAGACCTCCCCATAGATTGCCTCATTGAGAAATATTTTTCATAGATGCCAGGCTTCATTACCTTTTTCTTTCATCATTAACATCATTACAGTCCGTCCCAAATCCACTTCTGAACATAAGCCTCCTTCAAGGAACGCCGCAAATCACGGTCCTGAACCACCTGCATCCATCGATATCGACAACTATATGGCCTTCCCATTGCCACTTCAGCTTACTAATCCGTTGGGCTATGTCAGTTACTCTGGTTCTCCAGCGGATGTCCTTATTTCTAAGTTTATCATGCAAAGAACCCCCGAGCATAGCCCCCTCCATAGCTCGCTGAGCCACCTTGAACTTCCTCATACGGACAGCAGTGAAATACCACGTCGCAGGTCCATAAGTCATCACTGGCAACAAGCACTGGTTGTACAATCTTGTTTTCAAGTTTTGTGGTATACCTGACGAGAAGATGTGCCGATTGATCCTCTTGGTAGAAGTTGGACTTCCTAGTTGGACTATTTGTCCCAGATAAACATACTTGTCAGCAACTTCGAGCTTAGGGCTCCCAACGACTAGCGGCATAGGTATGATATGGACATTACACATGATATTCGCTTTGTCCATGTTCATTTTCAGACCCATCCGTTGGGTCACATTAATGAGGTATTTGAGTATGGTGCTTATTTCTTCCAGCGATTCTGCCATATAGACTACATCGTCGGAAAACCAACCATCAATGGCGAGTTACGTACTCGCCATAGATGTTGGTACCGTATTCCTTTCTGTCCTTAAAACGTCTTCCAGTGCAACGATGAAGAGTTTCCGGGATTTAGCATTTACAGCTCTCTGCAGTTGGATAGGTTTTGTACTCTGGTTCTGTACACGGATAGGCATTGTAGCCCTACTGTACAAACACTTCAGTATTTGATATACTGACAGTCAACTTGGCACCGCTAGATGGACTATAGCACCATCCAATTTTCGACAGAATCAAGGGTATACTCATAAGCAAGACAAAGTGCCTGATTATACTTTTCTATTATACAATTTGCCTTGCATATGTATATGTAGTCTATGGTGCTATAGCCTTTTAGGAAACCATCTTGTTCGGGAGGCTGGAAGTCATCGAGTCTGCGTGCGAGACGATACGTAATGACTCTCGAAAACAGCACGTAGATGAAACTTGAAGGAAAATCGGTCTGTAGTTGTTCAAGACAGTGACATTAAAAGGCGACATTTTATGAAGAAAAAGACCACCGCACTTCTGCTCCACGAATCCGGAGTAGTGTCATAATGGAGGCCGAAATTAAAGAGCTTCTAAGGGACTTCAAGCACAGGTTTTCCACCCGTTTTCAGAAGCTCCGCTGTAATTCTTTCCTGGCCCGGAGTTTTGCAGTTTTAAGTTGCTAGATAGCCATTCTAATCTTGCTCACACTGACGTTCGGGTTATTACTTATAAGACTTGGTCTTGGATCGTTACTCAGACTTGCGTGTGATTCCAACCATGACGTGTACATAGAACTCTGCTGCTCATAGAATTATACGTGGTAGAGCCATGCTGCAGCTATATTAATAGTATAGTTGTAGGACGAATGGGTCGGCTTGACCGGGGAAGGACCACGCTCTCACAGAATACCAGCGTAAAATAGCAGCTAAACACTGCTGTGTTTCGTATGGTGAGTGTAGAGAACTGGAGACCCTTTTACTAGAAACGAGGCATTCCATCTTAGTCCTCACGGGTGACAACGTATCTGCGTTTTGATTCGTAATCGAGGATAAATGTAGATCTCTATGGGTCACAGCAACCACTTACCATCAGGTTTTCTGTGTGCTCGTTTGTCACCTACATATTATTATAAAGAAAACCTCTCAATCTCACTCAAAATCGATGTCTCGGATTGTCGATGCTACCACATTCGGTCTTGAACCGTTGGCTCTTTCTGGAATACAGATCTCTGGCAAAGACATTGGAGCCCTGGTTCCGCTAGATCGCTTCCTCAATACGAGTTGTATTGAAGTTGCGTAACTCTCGCCGCATGCATTTGGAGAGCCTGTTCAGTTGCTTATTTTCTGTCAAACCTGCTGAAGACTGCAGCTTCATTTCCCATCTAAGAGTCATGAGATTAAGAAAGTGATCGGAGAATTTTCGTGTTCTTCTGTGACGGTCTTGCAGAACTTAGCTCCGACCTTTTTCTGTGACACGTATTCAATACCTTATGTCACCTGTTACGGCACTCACGACGGCCTAAGAGTACTCTCAACTACCCAATATCATTCCATCGCCAAGCATTTTAATTTTTAAGAGTTATTTTCAAAAGGTCTTATATTTTGAGAGATTAGACCAACAAATTTAGAAAGACTAATATTACTGGAGTTAAGTTTTCTATTCCTTACTTATCGTTACAGCCTATCAAAAGTTTACTTCTGAACTTAGGCCTTTCTATAGATTGTCTTGTACAAGCAACCGCAGGTTTTTATTTTTTGGTTGTTTTAAGTAGACATCGCTCCTCGTGCGGGCCCTTCATCCCTGACATCCATCGCCTGACACCCACGGGACGATACTGGGTAATGGATATTCTTACACCGCCTCTACAAGATCGATACTAATTTCTTACTTAACTTATAACTATTACAGTCGTGGAAGCTCAGGGGCTAATCACCCGCTCGTAAATTTTAGTACTACACGAGCAACCCTGGCTCGATCAACACCGTTACCAATTAAATTTTAAGTGTTTATTTACCACGTGTATGACGGTGAAGGACTATATTGTGAAAGAACCTGCATGTCTTATATATGTAAATATTTTGAAGATATGTGAAGAACTCCAAGAAGCTTTAAAGCTGCACAGCGGACTTATTGCTATGTAACCCTCTCAAAAATTTAAGTAGGTTTGTGTCTAGTATAAAAACTGTAAGCTTACTTTACTGAAGTAAATGTATTACTCCATTATATGTCCTAGCGGATCGGTAAGCAGGAATGGAAATATAGCTTAAAGAACCGACAACCGATGAGGAAGAAATGCTTTCAAACAATGGCCTTACAGCGGTGCTCCATCTTGGTCAGATATGCAGGAAATCCTTGGACAAGACATTTATTTAGCAGTGGAGTTGAAAACAGCTCTGTAAGTTATCTAACACATGAACACCAAGATATATTTGTACCGATATAATCCCAAATAAAATTTGAATTTAATTCGGACTTGTGAAGGGCTGTGAATGTAAACGAGTGATGAAGTGTTCTTACTATCTACATTGAAATGTCTCTTTAAAACTTTTCATGGAAAAACTTTTTTAATATTATAAGTTAAAATGAAATAAAACTTTCCAATATACTTTTATAATATTTTAAAATTATTATTATTTATTAACCTAAAAATATTTTCTTTTATTCTTCAATCTCAACATCCTTCGCTTTCGGACGGTGCGATTTGCGTTTTGAGTTAGGTTTGACAGTTGGCGGGTTCTCTAGAGCGTCTAACTCAGCATCAGTCAATTGGCCTTTGTACCAGTCCGCACTGAAACATAAAATTTAAGCATATGTATCATTTGGGAAACCATAAAATGTGACGATTTAAATTGCTTGTGTATATGCATGAAGATTGTTTTATTGTGAGTATATTATAAGGGAATATTGGCAACTGCCAAGCTCGCCCATATATGATGGGCCCAGCTTACTATCGAACAAAGCTCTTCTTCTGCTGATTCTTCTTTACCTACCCGTAAAATCCCACTGCCGGATTTGCCTTTGTAGTCACGCTTGGCAGATGGATTCACGACAGTTTTACACCCAGACATCTTGCAAAGTTGAACTTGGAATTTCCTATAGTTAAAATTGTTACAATAAACAAAGGGAAAAAATGGGCGGCCAACCAATGGCGATATATCTTTACTTAGTGGCTGAATCCAAGTCCTACAGATTATAAAGTAAAGTAAAAAAGTAACTTAACAAACTATATACGTCACACTGGTGGGCAGAAGCCCTCTCTCATTTCTAAAGTGTTTTAGGACAATGAAATGTCCGCCGCTCTGCCCCAATGCGTGTTGGCGAAGCGTTTAGTCCCTGAACTATCACGGCTCTACAGATCAAACTGATTATGTATTTACCTATACAAGAGTATGCAATCAATATTCACAAAGCTTACCCAGCCCTGCCAAAAAATCTCTTACTTAGTAAAATCCAGTTCACAGATAGATTCATAAAAGGTCCTAAATTTTAGCTTAAAATGGATGAAGTAAATATATAAAAAATGAAATTATCTTACCATTCAGGCACTTTTCTCGCCCATTCGCATTTCTTGCTCACGTCATCAAAAGCTTGTCCCAGCTTACATCCAGAACGACGTGGGGTGTTACCGTTGATACAAACGTAGAAGAACTGACAATCTGCGGGATCCGCATACCGAGGATGTGTCAGTCCGAATGTCTCATTGACAGGTGGGCAGTCGAAATCGAACACATCTGTAAAATTATAAAAAGATATAACATATTTGATCATTTAAAAAAATATTCAAGGACATGAAAATTTGAAGTTTCCTCTGGCTAGAAAGATTTTTAAGGGCAGTTTATAAGTTCGTAAAAGTTCTCTTGCCATAATCCTCACCCGTTATGGAAGATTTGCCTTTGTCGCCACGCTACGCTGAAGAAAGCTATTGCTGTATTAGAAGGACCGTAGCCATACAGGTATTCTAAAGACGTTTCACTACAATTTGTAACTCGTTCAGCGCTTAAAACTGCGATTGACTATAATAGTTACCTCGCATCTTACTATGCAAATTACATCGTACATCCAGTCTCTATGCTGCTGCAATGAAAGCAAATAATTTTACGCTCAGCAGATGTCTGAGCGTAAAAAGGTGAACTTATTTTTTACGCAGATGGTCACGCAGTGTCATTATTACTGAAAAATTGAGACTTAATTATATCTTTTTTGTTTTTAGTTTATGTTTAAACAATAAACAATGACTCAGTGCTGTATTATTTAATAATTTACACATTTAAAAAAATTCAATCTTACACTTTCAGGAAAATTTGTAGTTTTATTTATCCATTTCTAATTTAATTCATATAAAATATAACTAACATTTCAAAAGGAAACATTAATCTATGATTGATACCTATACTTTTCTGACAAACTAACTTTCCCCGCTATGTAATCTGTCAAATGGTTCACCTTATCCCTAAGTGGCAACGCCTTGGGGGCAGAAAAAGTAATGGATTAATAAGGGCACTAAATTGAAATTCAAACATAGGCCTTCTCCAGGGAATACCACAAAGACGGCAAAAAGGAAAGGGAGGCCTATATTCAGCAGTAGACTTGTGAGCGGCTTTAATGGAAGAATAAATTAATATAAATTTTTTTTTCAGTCACGAAAGTGTTGGGATATACATTCAAAGTATTTTAAAATGAAAAGGCTCACGTTTTACTAAAGGATACCTGACGATAAATTATATTAAGGTATTTTATGGTAAAAAGTCAACCAAAAACTTGTCTATTCTCTAAGACGTTAGTAGAGAATTTAAAATTTCCAATTCAGTAATTCAAATAAAGCTACTTTTTTTATAGAATAAGGGTGACAAACGAGCACACAGTCCACCTGATGGTAAGTGGTTACTGTGCCCCATAGACATCTACATCTATCTTCGTTTGCGAATTAAAATGCAGATGCATTGTCAGCCGTGAGGATTAAGATAGAACGCTTCTTTTGCAGTAAAATGAGTCTGCGTTTCTCTTCACTCACCATACGAAACACAACAGCATTAAGCTACTATTTTACGCTGGTATTTTGTGAGATCGTGGTCCTTCCCCGGTCGAGTCGAACCATTCTTGCTACAACTATACTATTAGTATAGCTGCAGCATGGCTCTACCACGTGTAACGTGTCTACGTAAAGAGAAAATTCAAATATGAAACGAATCGTTCTATGTATATATAGTGTAAGAAGAACAAGATATTGATGAATGAGATAAAGGTGTTTTATAATATTACTCTAGAAATATTATTGTTAATGAGTGATAAGCTTCGCTGCAGATGTATTGGCTATAGCACGAAAAGGTCGCATCCACTGGAGTAGAAACATGCTAGCACACAGTTTCAACGTTAAATAGCAGTAATAGTGATGTGTTTTGGTGTGGTGAGTAGCGAAAAACGGAGGCCCGCCTTACTGGCAACAAGGCATACCATTTTAGTCCTCACAACTGTAGTGGGTGCAACGAAACGGTATTAAAAGCAACTTACCAGCAGCACCGCAACCCTTCTTCTTAGCTTCATCAGGCCACGTACAGATTCCGGTTTTGTCATTGTATACCAGTCCATCAGGGCACGTAATCATGTTAAATTTACCATCCACGCAATAATAGAACTTGCCACATTCTTTGGGATCTTCATGGGAAAAGTAACCATTTAAGCGAGGACAGTGAAGAGATGGTATAGGTGTCTCTGTAAAGAAATGTATTTAATTATACATTTATATGGTAACTGATTATAAAAAAAAAATATAATAAAATCACGTTTAACAAACTTTCTTAGTGCTGTATAGCCGGCCTATTGTCACTTAAGTAAATAAACAATAATGAAATAAGGGTTTATATTTCTTTTTAGTTTTTTTCTCAACTGACTTTTAATCAAAAAGTTTACGAAAGAGTTTGAAACAAACTTTATAAGCACATTCAAATTGAATGTTTGTGATGTCGTATTATAATATTATTACACAGGTATTGTTATATCATTAGATTTCTTAACACATTCACTATATGTGAATGTAGTATAATAGTATCATAGTATTTTCATATAGTATATGGTTCACAGTACCCGCTTACTATTTGGTGGACTTTTGTCTTTAGTCATTTCTACTCGTATAATATATTTAATGAAGCTAGTACTTTGTCCGATCGAAAGGTGTAAAACGTACAATAATCTTACTATCCGCTTCAATACTCAAGGCCCTGTTTTCCTTGAGACGTGAAAGTTGTTTCGATTATGGGTAACCTTTATAATATAGCCGCAATGTATACTGATGTGACTCTGCTTTACTAAAATGGCAACACGTGTCGTGTTAGCTGACGTGCATATTGACCTTTACATTACTGTCAACTAATTTCATATGGTAATAGACCCTATGACTTATTCATAGCGTGTTATTTAAATACTTGGAATATTCAACCTTATACCGATCAATGTGTATTCAAACATTCTTGAATTAGCTTTACTGGAAAAAAATGTAAATACATCTATGTATTTCCTACTACAAGATATCACAGTCGATAATGAATTTACCTGTCAAATTAAAGGTGGTAGAATAAGTTCTACTATAGGTATACAAATATTTGAATACTTATCATGAATATTAGTATTTATATACACATATCATTTCAGATTTTAAGTTCATAGCCACACAAATACCACGTTTGGACTCCCTCTCTTTTAGACTTATAGCGATAAAGTGCTGGATACTCAGCATTTTATCGCTTTAATATTTTTGATTGAGCCACCTACAATTACGACCGGGACCTAATAAGACAAGCAGCAAGATGTCCCGCATATCTTACTAGGTCGTGACTTTACTTATTGGGAGGCCGCCCTAAACTCCGCATACCGGTACATGGCTCCCTTCGAAAACTTTTGACTGCGGATGGTCCTACTAATATTGATATAATTGTTACGGATTCTATCACGCATAGAAATTACGCATAATCCTCTTAGAGCAACATACAGGCAGTTATGAAAGACCAGGACTAACAAGGGTAGCATTTATCTATGTTATATCTTGAAATAAGAAGACTAATTTTACAGGTGAAATCAAATCGTTAAAAAAATTATGTGTAATATTTAGTCAACAGTTAGTCAACAGTAGTTGTCATATGCAAAGCACGGTTCAGAGCCACCTGCATCCGTCGGCTTCCTCTTTTATCAGGTCATCTCTCCCTCCAAGGTTGGATCTACACTTCACTTGCCAGTACGAGGCTACCACTCGAGAACCTTTCTTTCACATCGTTTGTCGCTTTTTCGAGGTATATGGCCGAACCATTGTCATTTCAGCTTACTGATCTGATGGACTTCCAGTCTTTTCTTAAATTAAAGGTATCAAATAAAATATGTTTATATCGAATCTAATATGAAATGGCATATATTTAGAAGAGTTTGATGTTAATATTTTTAATAATTTACTTACGTAGCTTGGGTCGCTGTGAACAGTCGATATTGAAAGGCAAATCGCACTTCTCTTCTTCGGGACTGTAGTCGTTGAAGACCATACCATCAGGACACAATTTCTCTATGATCTCGCCGTTTCTGTAAATTCACTAGAGCATATTAATATTACGTTAAAAGTAAAACCATTGAGAAGATAATTTAATTTTAATGCACCCCGCATTAAAGCAAAATATTATCGTGGTCACGAGCTAGGAGCGGCGATATGCATCTATTTGGCCGGGCCTCGCGCAATTTTATTGAACGATATTTATTTGATATTTCTTTTTAAAATGAAATACACTCTTTTATTAGAAAATAAATTCATATTTCTCTCATGTATTTACTTACGTAGATAGAATTTAATTGAAATTTGCTGTAATTACATTCGAATGAAACTGCTTTTTCCCTTAATGGACGTACCTAAAATTGTAGATTTTGAGCAAACTTTGCGATTTTTTGTATCAAGGCAAAATGTGCCAATCGTCTTTTGGATATCATAATTCACCAAGGAAAATTTTTTTAATTGATTTTAAAAAATTGTGAATTACATAGTTTTAATGACAAAAATTGATTTCCTGCGCTTAAAGCGTCAAAAATCTGCTTTTGGCGCCCATTTCACCTTAAAATTAAATTCTCTTTTACCTATACACTAGTATATTAAATTACTTATGAAAATAGAAAGCACATATCTCATGTCCCTTAAGATAAAAAAAAAATATTATATGAATAATATTAAATAATACTACTTGTACTTATAACCGTATGTGTGAGTAGATATATGGGTATGCAATAAGCAAGAGAGGTTCTCCGTAATCTCTGCTGGGTGAACCCTTAGAAACACACTAAATGACCTGCATTCCGTTATTTAACACAATGCTTTTCAAATCACAAGGAATCAATTCACAGGCATATAATGTTTTAAATATATCAGATGAAATTAATTCAAATTACTTCTCTCATTCAAAAATGTTACTCAAAATAGTACGTAACGTTTTAGGAAGCTTTTAGCTCAAACAAATAAAAATTCTTTAGTCTACAAATAAAAAATGGCGGGTTGTAATTAAACAAAATAATACGATGAAGAATTTACACGCTTGCCCTTTTTAGTACGTAAAACAAATGAGTTAATAAGCGACAAATGAGCTGATTAAAAATTCGCTAACTATTTATTATTTTAAAATTCATGATTCCGAATTTAGGATGAAAAGCAATAAAATATCCTTACCGTTTTCTAAGTCAATTACTTAAAATTTTCTAATTTACTAGCCTTTAAAATCTATTGCTAGCCTTTCAAAGAAGCAACAAAACGAAAATAAAGTTAGTAGGAATTCTTATTGCGTAGAAGTTCGTTTGGGTTAATTGTTTTCGCAACTGAGAATTTTTATGTGGTCATCGTGTCTCTGACATTGTATCTTAATTTATTGCAGTTGGCAAGCGGATAAGTGAATGCGTAGCAGATACTTTTAACTGACAAAACTGTTTCCTACTACCCGGCTGTGAAATTTGGACTCACCAAAGACTTATCCGAAATCAGCAGAACGCACCACACGTAGTAGAGTTTGACAATTTCAAAAATGGAAGGCATATTTCATATTTAATGCACCTGAGATTCCCGTAGTGTCCCGTAGCATAGTCATTTACTATCAGGTAAGCCACATACTCATATGCTCCTCTCTCCTTTTCTTTAAAAAATCGCATTCTTTAAAAATGACCAACCTGCATTCATAGTATTTATCGCATTGTTCAGCATCAGCGAAGAATCCATCCTCTGGACACGAGTTTGTGATCTCGGCGTCTTTTTCTGGATCGGCTACAGCCCGTGGTGGTGGATTAGCAGGTTTTCTCTTAGTATTCTTTGGTACAGCCGCTGATGCTAATACTGATGAAATATAAGAGTCAGTATAAACGTAATATTTGAATCAAGTTATATTATATTAGTGTTTAATTTAGATGCATATCGTGTTAAAGACTTATACTAAAAGTGTTACGTTAATTTATTGAAATCTTTACATATAAATAAAATTGAAGTGTACTTCTGTAATATCGAAATTAATGACCATTATTAAAAGTTTTGTCTATTTTTTTGACCGGGCTTAATCTTCGGAATGACTGAAACTTGACGAATAAATAGAGTGAAATGGCAGAAGTAATCTAGGCTAAATTTTATCAGAAAAGCTTGGAGATTTTTTTGAGAAATCGAAATAATGTTAAAAAAAGGTTAAAAAAAGGATATTATCTCAAATCAATGTTTATTAATAGACTGCAACTACTCAAGGATTGAGGGGGGAAAGGAGGGTCGCTAGTCTTAAATAAGATTATATGCCGCTGGCGATTCTTAATGTTTTCTGCCTGGCTCATTTAAAACTTGTCCGGTTTACATTGAATTGTGATTGACTTCCTAGTTTGACAACTAGACTTAACAGCGTTCGAAATGTAAAATCTAAAAAATGAAAGTACTTATGAAGTTTAATAGTGTCTTAATATTTATTATTTACAACATTTTCTAAGCTAATATCTTTTTTTTATTTGCTTATTATTTTATTAAGAATATCGTGGAAAGAAGATAAATAAATAAATAACAAGTAATTTTTCTAGCAATATTGAGATTATGCATTCGTTCGTTTTCTGAAACTCAAAACAAATTTTAAGCAAATTGGAAAGCAAGGTTATAACAAATAAAAGAAACTAAAGCATCCATACTACATGAACACGAAGAAAGCTACTTTTGGTTTAAATTATGTGAGTTCGATGCACTGCATGCCAAGATGTTGTCGCTGGCGGAGATTTATCTAACATATTCGTTTTTCCTATAGCCTCTTAGATCCGCATTCTCTGATAGCCTTGGCTGTTGAACTTTAGCCGTACCTTACACTGTAACTCGAATAAATAGCTTGTCTAAAGAATTCTGTTGAATTCAATACATACAATACACTGATATAATCTTATATCTAATGTTTTCGCTTCAAAATATATGATATAACTGAATAAGAAGGATTAAATTTGTATTTTCTTACTGATTCACCTATGAAATATATCATAATATCAATTTTACTATTACTTTCTAAAAGTTGTAATAATTTATAAATACATAAATGAATATTCCGTGTTAGTACTGTATGTGTTCCTATGCCGTTCATCAAACATTACAACGCATAGTGGGCACTACCATATTTAACACCAACTCTTACACGGAACTTTGTCCGCGTAGACCTTTAAAAAATCTGCAGCTCTATATACTTACTATAAAAGTATAATATACATTTTACGAAGTAACATACTTCAGCGCGTTGATGTCTTTTCAAAGAAAAAATGATACTGAAAATAACTATTATATTTGAGCAGGTATAATACATTTTTACACGGAATACCGATGATGCAGCTATATTATAATGCTGCTGTGTTTCGTATGGTGAGTGCAGAGAACCGGAGACCGTTTTGCTGGTAACAAGGCATTCTATCTTCCTCAGGGGTGACAACGCGTCTGAATTATGGTTCTTAATCGAGGAAATATGTATATGTCTTTAGGCCACAGCATCCACTTCGTATTACGCGGACTGTGTACTCGTATGTCACGCCCATTTTATAAAAAACTAGTTCAGTTATAGAAAAACCAGATTGAACTCATTTTATCACTATTATCTCGTTATCTATTTGTGAAGTTTTATTTTCTAAAATTAGCCCGGACAGACAGATAGACAAACAGGAAGACAGACAAACACAAACATTTTAAAACTGTTATTCACGTCTTAATATTATATTGATATCAGAAACAGACACTTCATTTTTTTTTATATATTGCATAGATGTAACATATAATAAATATTAATAAAAAATCGATATCTCACAATTCTCAGTATACTTTAGAGTAATAAACATAGAAGTTTAAACAATGTAATAACATTGCAACTATACAACATGATGCAAAATACGCCTAAAATACGAACAAAGAGAAGTGTAGCAATATTTTGCGCCAGTTTCCCTCTTACCTAACCACGCATAGCTTGTAGTAGCAGGAAAGTTGTATCAAAAATAATTTTTGTGGACTTGAAATGGTTTCAGAACTGGTCGCGCCCGTGACATTATTATTCAATTATATATAGTATAGATTGACAGCAGCAATCTTGGGAACGACTTCGTTTTAATTTATTAAATAATATGCAAATACGTAATCACAATTTTTAGTATTATCGATGACCTTAAATTTTATTAAATTAAGGTATTAAATGAAAAGTCAACTCCATTTCAATTACTTAACATCTTAAGAAATAACTAACTTCGGCGCGTTGATGTCTTTTCAAAGAAACAATAATATAGAAAATCACTATTATATTTCAAGTAAAGATTTTATCACAAATCACTATTATATTTAGAAAATAATTTCATATACTTACAACGCTAAATTTAAGCTTTCATAATATCAAGATATTTCGCAAAACATTACATTATTAATATTATAAACCGTCATAACTCAATTTGAAGTTCCTTGATTGCATAAATTTAAAATGTCAATACTCACCAATTAAACATGCCAAAAAAATAATTCCAGTGGTCGACCTAAACGCCATCTTGTGTTATTAGATTTGAATATAATACACTAATAACTGAAAAGTCACAATACAGTGACTTATCCAAGCTTGACGCTTGCGCCAAGTTCTATAGCGCACTGAGTATAACAGTTTTTGTCATCCGTTCTTAGCTGAAGAATGACTGAGCGATCGGTTACGTTATCAACTTTCTCGCTTTTACTTAAACAAACATATATACGTTTGCACTCTTCACTAACGAGCGTGTTCTTTGGAGCTATTGGATCCTGTTATATATCTACGCGTTCTGCAAGAAAATTAGTAGGCACTAATGGTCTTATCTGGAATTTACAATTTAACATTAAAAATTTTGTACAACCGAATTCAATATAAATTATTAATAGTAACTCAAAAACTATTGATCAGACCTTGATCAAATTTAAATGGAACCACATGAAAAGCACCAGCTTTCAAATAAAAAGAGAACCATAGAAATCGGTTCACCCAGAAAAAAGTAATGAGGTAACACACATAAAAAAAATATACAATCGAATTGAGTACCGTCTCCTTTTTGAAGTCGGTAGATAAATAATCAATAAATTGGGTAATGACTATATTTTTCTAAATATGTACAAAATAGTATCTAGATATACAATAAGTAATACAAATAATAATAATAATAATAATAATAATAATCTTTATTGATAAACATATTACATGCACAAATGTTTACAATGGTCAACAGCCCCTAAACTAGGATATTATACTTGTATTTCAGGGGCTAAAATTAGTTGTAATCACCTAATTACTCATAATTTAAAAACGTGATGCAATTACCTGTGGTAAAAGAATACGTTGCGTAACTTTAAACTTTGGTATGTGGGTTAATTGAACACGGCTCGATGGATCTTTGATTAAATGACTTGAAATTCAAATTTACTATGACGTTCATTTTATTGTTCGATATTAGCATTACTTAAAGTGACAAACCGTTGGTCAATTTATTTTGACAAATCTTCAAACTTAAAATCGTACCGGTAAGCAAAGTGTAGGGTGACATCCAACCAGATAGAGTGACGACCTGGTAAGACATGCAGGAAATCCATGGATGCAGGTGGTTCATAACTGTAATTTGTGACATTCCTTGAGGGAGGCTTTTGTTCAGCAGTGGAGTGGAGTAGTCTAGTATATGATGGGCTGTAACTATGATGATGATGACGACGACCACATAAAATTTAATTATTGTGTATGTTAGCAGCTAAAGAAAACTGCACAAATAGTTTTATCGGAATTTTATAGGATAGGGTGACAAACGAGCACACAATCCACCTGATGTTAAGTGGTTGCTGTGACCCATAGACATCTACATTTATCCTCAATAAAGAATCAAAACGCAGATGCGTCGTCACCCGTGAGAATTAAGATGAAATGCCTCTTTTCTAGTAAAATGGGTCTCCAGTTCTCTACACTCACCATACGAAACACAGCAATGTTAAGATGCCATTTTACGCTGGTATTCTATACTGATATGTTACTTATACCAATACTCTTTAAAAGGCTCTTTACAACTTGACAAAGGTCTTTTTAAAAATATGCCAGCTAGCAAGCATATATGTATATATATGTATACAAAATAAATATATTACATAGGTTGTAAATTTATAAGTGCATTGCAAATACAAGTAGAATTCATTTCATCATTCATTCAAATAGTAGAAAATTCAAGTACAAAAGTTGTGACTAGTAAACAAAGTCTGTCTAAATGTATGCGAATGATGTGGTCCATGCATCTATCATCTATCCTCGATTGAGAATCAAAATGCATTTACATTTGCATTTTATTACCCCAAAAAACTAATATGGAATGCTTCGTTATCAGTAACAACGTTCTAGCCACTTACCATATCACACACATAACACAGTGTCATTATGCTGCTATATTAAGCCGGTATACCGTGTGAGCGAGTTCCTCCGATCATCTGTAACCATCGCGGCTCTACTACTTATAAACGTATAATTTACAAAATTTAACTTTAGCAGTCATATTTACCGATAACCTATCATCTATTTGGTCATATTTACAAAACAAATTGTGTATTAAAACACTAGTTTACGCATTATTCCTCATCATACCAAATTTAAGTCTCATTATTTCGTCTCTGAGGCTATAAGGCTTTGAAATAAACTACCTGCACATAATAGGAAATTGACTTCTGTTGCTTTTTTAAAGGAATGATATCGGATCATTACCTTTCGTCTTCCAGTGGTCATTCTGATGTGATTGGGTTTTTATTTATAGTTTACCAGCTCGCCAGGCAGACGTTGTTCTGCCCATTCCGACGACCCTTCCTATAAAAATATTGAATTCGCTATAAAAAATTTTGAGGGTCATTTATCGGGATAAAAACTATCCTATCTCTCAAGTTGTACCAAAATGCACACAGTTTGCAATTTCATTGCAATCAGTTCTGTAGTTTAGGAGTTCATCGCGGACAAACAACGAGACACGTAATTTTATTATATAAAGATTATATTTGTACAAGAGTATAATTATAATTTTTTTAAATTAAATTTAATACTTATTGTTTAATTATGTGTATGTAATATAAAAAAATTAAGTATATGTAGGTTCACATTATAATTTCGAGTATTTACGTGAATAGTCCACATTAAATAAAACTTATATTACGGATTTTATCGCGTTTAATTTTAATTTTTTTTAAATTCATCGGTTTCTGAATTCATTTGTAAATCCAAGATTGTACAAGCGGTACGTAGACAACATTTTCTCAATTTTACCATCAGACAAAGTAACTGCATTCTTAGACCACCTTAAGTTCCATAAATTCTAAAACTCAATTCATAGTGAAGTTCATCATCATCATCATCATTACAGCCCTTCACAAGTCCACTGCTGAACATAAGCCTCCCCCAAGGAATGCCACAAAGCACGGTCCTGAGCCACCTGCATCCATCGACTTCCTGCATATCTTACCAGGTCGTCACTCCATCTAGTGGGGGGACGCCCAACACTTCGCCTGCCGGTACGAGGCTGCCATTTGAGAACTTTTTTTCCCCATCGGTTGTCGGTTCTTCGAGCTATATGGCCGGCCCATTGCCACTTCAGCTTACTAATCCGTTGGGCTATGTCGGTCACTCTGGTTCTACTGCGGATATCCTCATTTCTGAGTTTATCACCCAGAGAAACTCCGAGCATAGCCCTCTCCATAGCTCGCTGAGCGACCTTGAGCTTCCTCATCCGGCCAGCAGTGAAGGACCACGTCTCAGTGCCGTATGTCATCACTGGAAACATGCACTGGTTGTACAGTCTCGTTTTCAAGTTTTGAGGAATACCTGACGAGAAGATGTGCCGTAATTTCCCGAACGCTGCCCAACCGAGTTGAATCCGTCTATTGACCTCTCGGTCGAAGTTGGACTTACCTAGTCGGACTATTTGTCCCAGGTAAACATACTCGTCAACAACTTCGAGCTTAGTGCTCCCAACAACTACCGGCATAGGTGTGACATGGACATTAAACATGATCTTTGTTTTGTCCATGTTCATCTTAAGACCTATCCGTTGGGAAGCACTATTGAGGTCATTGAGCATAGTGCTTAGGTCCTCCCGCGATTCTGCTATAAGGACTATATCGTCGGCAAATCGAAGGTGAGTGATGTACTCGCCATTGATGTTGATACCGTATCCTTTCCAGTCCAGAAGCTTGAAAACGTCTTCCAATGCAGCGGTGAAGAGTTTCGGGGATATGACGTCACCCTGTCTTACACCTCTCTGCAATTGGATAGGTTTCGTACTCTGGTTCTGTACTCGGATAGCCATCGTAGCCCTACTGTACAAGCACTTCAACAGTTCGATATACCGACAGTCAACTTGGCACCGCTGAAGGGACTGCAGCATCGCCCAAATTTCGACGGAATCAAAGGCTTTCTCATAGTCCACATACGCCAGACATAGTGGCAAATTGTACTCCTCGAACTTCTGTACAATTTGCCGAAGGGTATGTATGTGGTCTATGATGCTAAAGCCTTTTCGGAAACCGGCTTGTTCGGGAGGCTGGAAGTCGTCAGGTCTGCGTGCGCAACGATTCGTAATGACTCTCGAAAACAGCACGTAGACGCGGCTCAGAAGGGAAATCGGTCTGTAGTTTTTCAAGAAAGTGTTGTCGCCTTTCTTGAAGAACAATACCACCGCACTTTTGCTCCACGCCTCCGGTATAATGCCACCATGGAGGACGGAATTAAAGAGCTTCTGAAGGACTTCAAGTACCGGTTTTCCACCCGCTTTCAGAAGCTCCGCTGTAATTCCATTCTCGCCTGGGGCCTTGCCGTTTCTAAGGTGCTGAAGAGCCATTCTAATCTCGCTCAGACTGACGTCCTGGATATCATCAGAATAATTTCGGATAAGACTCGCTCTTGGATCGTTACTCACACTTGCGTGTGGCTCCAACGATGACGTGTACAGCTGCCCATAGAACCTCTCAATCTCACTCAAAATCTCAGGTGTCCCGGAAACGATGCTGCCACACTCGGTCTTCAGCTTTGACAGTTGGCTCTTTCTGGCAGACAGATCTCTGGCAAAGACTTTGGAGCCTTGGTTCCGCTCGATCGCTGCTTCAATACGAGCTGTATTGAAGTTGCGTAAGTTCCGCCGCATGCATTTGGAGATCTGTCTGTTCAGTTGCCTGTATGCTGTCAAATCTGTTGAACAATGTAGCTTCATCTCCCGTCTAACAGCCATGAGATTAAGAGTGTAATCGGAGAGTTTTTGTGTTCTTCTGCGGCGGGTCTTACAGATCTTAGCTCCGACCGCATGGATAGTTTCCACGAGCTTGTCATTCATATCGTCCACTTCATTGCAGTCTTCTAGGCACTGAAAACGGTTTTGCAACTCGAGCTGAAAGGTTTCGGGACTTTGGAACAGAGCACGAGGGGGACGGAGCGTTGTTATTAGACAAGACCTCTCCAACTTAACGTTTAGGATCAGTGTGCCTCTAACCATTCGGTGATCGCTACCAGTTTTCACC